AAAAATCATAAATTATGTAATACGAGCAATATATATAGCATCGCTTTTTTTCTGCCCAAAAGCGTCAAAATGATGAAATAAAATCTATTAAAGAACAAATTCCGTACCGTTTCCGAAAGTTCATTTCTTAATTATAAATATCATTGGAAAGTGTTCCATAATTATACAGTGTTGAATTCTTCCTAAAATGATTTTCCAGATAATATGTTAATTTTGTTCTAAAGTAATATTTTCAAAAGGGATAAAAGAAAATTGGTTATTTCATACTTTTAGGGGGTGCATGTTGAAATTCCTATTATGTTTGAAGAAAAAGCATAAATGAAAATATATGAGACTGTGTCATTGTTTTCGAAAAGAAAAATAAATGTCAGTACAAAATTTTGGAGACAAATTGAGAAAGGGGAGTGTAAATAGCATTAGCGTTAGATGAGTGCATGTTCAAACAGAAATAAAATATCCTGCTATTTATACTCCACCTTTTCTTCTATACCAGTCGTTGGGTGTTACTCCCTCCACCACCACAATTTGCTTTCTCCACCACCCCATTCTCCTTTTACCCTTTTTTTTATTTTTTCATTCCTATTTTATCCTTATTAAAATTTTAGGATTAATATTATTTAAAATATCACGTGGACATTCATTCTCTTTATCATTCTTTCCTCTTTCTCTTTATTATTTTTCTCAGGTTGTCTCTTACGTTCCACTATCCTTGGGTTGTCTCTCATGTTCCACTTCTTCTTCTCTTTTATAGAATTGTGATGTGAGAGTCTGGTGGACTTTGTGTTTAGTAAGATTGAAAGTGGGGAAAGCAATTCATCTTCAGTTGTGAGTGTGGTGGTGCTTCAAGGTGCCGGTTCAGAAGCGTAAGAGTTTCAGAGGCGTGAAGGTGCATAATAAAACCCTAAAATATAAACCGTATAATCTTTAAACGAATGTGAGCATCAATGTCAACATCCGTTTTTCCTTATGCTCACATCCGTTTAAAGATTACGGTTTATATTTTACAGTTTTTTTATATTAATTTTGAAGATATTTAAATAATATAATTTATATTTTTTGATATATTATTTATATTTACACTGCCTTCACCGCTGAACCGCTGAAGGAGAAAGAAAACTGATATAGAGGAAAAATGGAAGATGAGAAACGGATATGATGGAGTTTGGGTGAGAATCTGAGAAGTTGGGAGGTGGGTGAGAAGGGGTAGAAAGGTGGGTGAGAAGGGATAGAAAGATAGATTTTAGGGTTAAAGTAAATAATTAGGATTAAAAAATATATAAGTTATTTTTTTAATTATAAAAGGTTAGTTTTGTAATTCAAAAAATATGTAATAGAATTGGGAACGTGGAGAAAGAAAATGTGGTGGTCGAGGGAGTTATACCTCGAGTCGTTTTACTTTATTGGACTATTTACTTTGCTTTGTTGTTTTGATGGTTGTGAGAAATCTGTTTGGATTTGTAAAGGATCTGTTTTTGCAAATGGAAATATGATTATCTACTTTCTTTCATTTTTTGTATAAGAATTGGGAAAACCTATTCCTCTTTCAATTCATATTTGTTATTTTTGACAAAAAAAAATAAAATCATTCAAATAATAAATTAAAAAAAATTAAATTATTCAATTTTTTTTTCTCAATTATAAAAAGGGTCAATAAGACAATCCATTCTACTTCTGGTTATTGATTGAGTTGGTATATAAATATAAGTTAATAAACTGAAAAAGTCAATTCGTACCATTAATGACGTGCTGACTACCTCTCTTATTTTATTAACGTTATGATTAATAGAAATCGAAGATAGAGGTGTTAAAGAAATATTAAATTAAACAATCTTATTTAACTCCAATGTATAAAAAATTGAATAGAACTTCTATTGTAGTTTTTTTTAATTGATTCTTTTCTAAATAAAATTATATAAATTAAATTAAACTATAACCTATGAGATTAGAAAAATATATTTTAAGATTAGAGACCATTAATAATTCAAATGATTTAGATAGTTCAAGTATTTTAATAAAAATTTATAATATTTCAATTCACTCTAGTTGTAATGTAATTCAATTTTAATGTGAATAATTATACAATTAAATTCTATGATAATTTAATTTAGTTTGTTATTTTAATCATTGTTATTGAAAATGTGGTGATTCCAGTGATATAATAATGAATTAAAAAAGTTTAAACTAGTATGAGTCAAGGTTTTATGCATCAAGTGTCAAATTGAACCTAAGAATAGTGATATAATTATGGAATATTGATTGTGAATCACACTAAAACAATAAACATAGTTTACAAAGTGTTGATACTTTATTATTTTAGCAACAAGCATGAACATTCCTTATATATAAGACTACATAGCGTTACAAGTTACTTATAAGTACTTGATTAATTAACTTAACCAAACAAAATACCAAATAATCTAAATTTATGTCTTTAAATGCTCTAAGCCAATAAGCACTCCTATTACCACCTTAATAATGCCTATCCATACTAAAGTGCAACAAGATGCTGTATCTTCTCCAAAAAGGTTTTGTTCATCCTCTCAATATCTCATTTTATTGTGAAGTATGACAAACAATCAAATGTCTAACAATACTTTTATCTCTATAGAAGTTATTAAACTCCTTAAAGCTAATATTCAAGTCATTTTAAGAGACTCGTTATCTTTTTGGTTTGGTTAAACACTAGGAACATCCAATACTTGAAACTCTTGAAGGTTTATAACTTTTACTTCATCTTGAATATCTATGTGAATATTGATTAATCATTGATTATTAAGAAAATGTAATTCACATCTCTCAACGAAGGAACTTCCTCATACCCCTCCAATAACGTCCAAGGACATAGTCTAATGTGGTCTTCATCTCATGTAACATGTAGGAAAGTTTTGTCTATATTATTTCTCAAACACATAATATTCAAAAACATTAAATCTCCACCTTTTGGTCTTCAAGCAACTACTCTTTAATATCTAATTCTTTGGAAAATATGTTTCCTATATGCCCATGCCAAACTACATTACCAAATGAAGCATCAAGTGACACTAAGAAGAATGCAATCTAAAACACAAACATAGATTATCCCTTAAAGGAAATTTACATTTTCTTCCTTAGATATTTGAATCCCTGAATCTTTAAACCACCAAAGCAACACCCATTTTCCTTATATGCCTAACAGACACAAATCTCGCTAAAATAGGTTCTAACACGACTCTGCTACCATGTTAAGAAATAGACTTTAAACCTAACTCAATCCCACAAAATCAATTTGTAAAATATGGTTCACATTCACTTATATATTCTAAATTAGTCTTATCTCTAATTAATATGGAACTTCCAACCATAATAAATTTGTCTTTAATGGATAATATCCACCTTTGATTTACTAATTTTATAACCTCCTTATAAACCTTTACCCTAGTAAGTTTGAAATAAGTACCTTTGTCACATTTATTAGTGCTCTAATTGTGATTTCAATAATATCGTGCTAAGATATTAATATCTATTAAGTCGAGATCATTTGATCAACATAATTAATCATATATATATATATATATATATATATATATAAATATATATATATATAAATAAATAAATAAATAGATAGATCAATTAACTTTCTGTTCTAAGAGTCTCCATCCATTTTATAACATGTAATAAATGCTCAAAAAAATAATTCCTTTTAGGGGTGTTTGAGGGAAAGGAGGCCTTTTTAACCATAGGCTTGAATGGGTTATGATGGAAATAGTTTTTCATGTCCATGAGGAAACTTCTAGGACATGTGTGGTAGCCTTGACATAATTGGGCTTATTAAAACACCATCACACACATTTGCAACACTTCTCATTTTCAAATTCTCTACACCCTTTCCCTTTCCCCTTGTTCAACTAAAAGAGGATTTTATTCCACATTGAGAAAAATTGGGTCAAAAGCACTTCCAAAAGTTGCGTTTCAACAAAACTGCTTTGGACCAATGACCGACAAGAGAAGCATCTCCCTACACACAACACTATTTGGTACAGCAAGATCTAAATTTCCATGAGGGCCATATAGGCCACCCCATCATATGAACATTTGACAAAAATATCCAACTTATAACCCTTAATAAGAGAGGGTAATGATGATTAATGATGCCCACATCAGCAAAATTTCTTTAAACAAATAGCAAAAGAAAAAGAATGATGAACAAAGCTTGGTTGGAAAGCCACGCCTGTGTAAGGCTTTTCCCTATGCTCCATGGTCCCACCATCACACCACATGACATGACCTTTTTCTCATGTGAATCACCATAGGCAAAAAAATGTGGCACCTCCCTCAGCCGTCCCACAAGGGAAAAAAAAGGAAAAAAAAAAAAAACTAACTGCCCTTCAATTTCTTGATTCTAGATACACAGAATCATAGATGGTAGTATTTTTGTTAGTAGTTACACTTCAAAAGCTGAAAGCAGAAGGGGTGACAAAAAAGTTATTTTTGGATGGTTGAGACATACATAAAGTTGGAAAACTTGTGTCCCCATCATTGGCATTTACTATGCCAAGTGGAACCCTTTGTGTGGATCAACTTTCACAATCTTCTTTTCCTTTCTTTTGGGCATCTTTAATATGAGAGCCTTCCTTCAACTCAATTGACATTTGACTTTGGACATAGTGGAATAAGGTATGCTTCAAATAGAATTTGATGTACACATCTTCTCCTTTTCCCCAAGCAATATACCAACACTCCATTGTTCCAACTAGTCATCTCTGCCCCTAAAATGTAACTCTAGCTTGTTAAATTTGAAATCTTCACCCAACCTTCTTTTCTTTCTGACTTATTCAACTACATTTTTATGCATTATTATGAGTGTAAGAAGGTTTACATTACCTACTAATTCAAAATCATAGTTAGGGTAACTTTCAAATAGTATAGTATCTTCCCTAGCATTCAAAGAACTGCTAGACACTAAATGTAGGAGTCCCTCTCCCATATGGTTAGTTACTGCTATACAATGAGTAAAAGGTGACTAGAGGATTGTAATTACTATAACAATGAAATATGACAAGTAACACCAGCTGTGTATGCTACCAGTACTAGTACTACTCACCATAATACCAAATAATACACACTTGACCAATCCATAACAAAACTATTTAAAACCAAAATTATGATGAAGCAACAAAAAACAAATTATTCAAAATTATCAGCTGGAGGACGGTGGCTCATTCTACGTATGGCTTAAGCAACATGGCCCCATCTGTGTGATCATGTTGCAGGCAGCAGACACATGAATTGAATATTTGAATAATTATTTTTTGTGACACATTTTTTTCTGGGGCTTCTGTTGGTGCCAAGTCAGCATCTGTCGTGGAAGGAGAAAAAAAAAGTACATGGGACTGAGAGGGAAGAAAAGGTGGTAAGGTGAGGTGAGGGGGTGCTTACTTCTTCCCCTTTAGCTTTAAAGAGTTGTTAACCACCCTGGCATTTCCTATGCCTTTGTTTTTCTTTTGGACATTCCTTTCTGCTTTCTGAAAACTCTGCAACACACAGCAGCATTCTTTCATATACAACTCCACCACCCTTTTGCATCCACCAACTCTTTCACAAGCATTCATTCATTCATATTGGTCTTGTTCCACAAGCCACCATTCTGATTTTCATGATCAGAAGAGTTTAGCACATCATGGTGAGAATCTGAACAAGAAAATTTGTTCTCTCTGTGTTGCTGATCACCTCTCAACTTTTCTGGTGTCAGATCATGTCTGTTAACACTTTTCATGCCTTGTTATGATTGGTTCAGGGAACGCCTGTGAACATCATCGTTGGATCACAGGTTTGGGTTGAGGATCCTGAGGATGCATGGATTGATGGTGAGGTCACAGAAATCAATGGCAAAAATGTTACCATCACTGCCACAAATGGGAAAACTGTAAGCCTTTTACTTGATCATAGAACTGGAATATTCTAAGTATTGTCATTGATTGGTGAAACACTTTGAAACTTGATTAGAATGCTCCATATCATAGATGTATATATAACAGGCGTTTCAGAGATAGGTAGAGACACGGTTATCAAACTCGCGAGTTCGTCGAGAATTTTTTTTAAAGTAAAACGAAGTTGGTTTTAGGGCTTACCAGATTAGGGTTTTGTAATTTAGCTCACTCACGAAGCTCATCTTCTTCCTTCGCCTACTGCGATTCCAAGAACTCGCACTCAGTTCTCAATTTGGCGTCGTCGCTCGCGATCACCGTTAGCCACCGCCAAAGTCGTGTTAGCCGTCGCCCAAGATCGTCGTCGCTCGCCGTGGGTCGTCGTTGCTAGCAGTGGGTCGCGTCTGCGCTGATTTGCAGCCCCTCGCCCCTCGCCCCTCACTCTGTTCTGTTATTTTTTATAAGTCCTTTTTTCCCTCTACATTTAGATTATTTTTTATAGTGAAATTCTTTTATACCTCTGCACTTGGATTATTTTTTATCGTGAAAAGAATTTATATGCTCTTTTGTCATTATGCATTTAGATTATCTTTTATCAGCATATAGAAATTTTTATTACTTTTGGTCCTTCTGCAGTTAGATTATTTTTTATTTTGGAATTTTTTAGTGAACAAAAATTAAAACAAAAAGTCTTCTTTTATTAAAACTAGAAGTAAAAAATGCTCGTCAGATATTAGATGAAACATGAGATAAATATTAATTGATAATGGTAAAAAATTAACTTATTTATTTAAAGTACTATTAAGTTAATGGAAAGCGGAATAACTTGTTTAAAGAATAATATAAGAGGATCCATCAACCCTAAATTTTATTCTTTTTGTTCTGTAAGTGGATTTTTCTTACTATAGTATTGTGTGCAGTGAAAACTATAATATTATGTTATGTGATAATAAAGCTGAAACTTGATCAGTTTTTGTTCTTAGCCTGGTAGAAGACAAAAGATAGGTAGAAAAAATAATAATACAAAACCAAGGTGAAATTTCAGTACAAAAACCTGCAGCCGCAATTTGCAGCCTCATCACATCACCAATTTTAGAATGCACAGGAACTGAAGTCACAACACATTCTTGTTCAGAATAAAAAAATTATTCTTTTCCTATCACATATTTCAAATAAGATTTCCAAATTAAGTATAATAAAGAATTAACTAGTTGCTCAAATGAGAAAATTATAGTTTATTTTAGTTCTTTCAACAAGCTCAGGTACCATAATTTGATTGTATTCTGACTCACTCAGCCTTGTCCACTCAGAAGGATGGCCCAGAATATATCACCATTCTCACAATTTTTATACTTGAACATAAAGGATCATACAAAACTAAACATTAGCATTTACCTCAATTTCAGATGGTGGCAGATATTTCAAGCATATACCCCAAAGATACAGAAGCACCACCTGCAGGAGTTGATGACATGACCAAGCTAGCTTACCTTCATGAGCCAGGAGTCCTGCATAACCTTGCAACTCGTTTTTCTCTCAATGAGATATATGTGAGTCACAACCAGTTAATCTACTTGTCCATTGTCATTCTTAATATATTTCATAGAAAAGTTATGTAAAGGAAAAGAGAGTAAAATCTGACGAAAATAAATGAAATAAACAGACATATACAGGGAATATCTTAATTGCAGTGAATCCTTTTAGAAGATTGCCACATTTGTATGACATCCATATGATGGAGCAGTACAAAGGTGCAGCATTTGGAGAGCTTAGTCCTCACCTTTTTGCTGTAGCTGACACATGTTACAGGTATGTTTCCATCGATGTAGAAATATATTTTGCACAGGTAAACTCAAATCAATCATAGAGTTGACTCAGTCAAATGTATCAGGGCAATGATAAATGAAAATGGAAGCCAATCCATTTTGGTAAGTGGAGAGAGTGGAGCTGGTAAAACTGAGACAACAAAAATGCTCATGAGGTATCTAGCATTCATGGGGGGTAGATCTGCTACTGAAGGAAGAACTGTAGAACAACAGGTTTTGGAGGTGAGTTTGAACTACTTACAAATAATTTCTTAGAACCCAAATAAGGTACGTGTAGTGACATTATCAGTTCTGCAGTCCAATCCAGTGTTGGAAGCATTTGGAAATGCCAAAACTGTCAAAAACAACAATTCAAGGTACATTGTATAGATATATTTTCTCAGGTCTCATTTTCTACAATAATTCCCATTTTAATTTATCTTACAAAATTATTTGAGTTTGTGCCAGTCGATTTGGTAAATTTGTTGAAATTCAATTTGACAAGAATGGGAAGATTTCCGGAGCTGCAATCCGAACATATCTACTTGAAAGGTCACGAGTTTGCCAGGTCTCTGACCCAGAGAGAAACTACCATTGTTTTTACATGCTTTGTGCAGCACCACCAGAGGTGACTTCTTAATAGTTATCCTGAAAATAATTCAGTAACATACCATTTCCTCACTAAATCTAACAGTTAAAAGTTTCTAAATAGGATGCCAAAAAGTACAAGTTAGGGGATCCAAGGCAATTCCACTATCTTAATCAATCAAACTGTTATGAAGTGTCAAATGTAGATGACGCAAAAGAATACTTGGAGACCAAAAATGCAATGGATATTGTGGGCATTAACCAAGAAGAGCAGGTATTGATCAGTTCACAAGTGCACCACATTTTAATGAAACAGTGATTTGATTATATCCAAACAATTGGTTAAATAAAATTTCCCTTCACAGGATGCTATCTTCCGTGTGGTAGCTGCAATCCTCCATCTTGGAAACATTGACTTTGTCAAAGGGAAAGATGTGGATTCTTCCAAATTGAAAGATGATAAATCACTCTTCCACCTACAAACAGCTGCGGAGTTATTCATGTACGAGCTTTGATCTGCCCATCAGAACTGTATAATTCATATGCTTCAACTTTGGTGTCTCTTAACATGTTTATGTTCAGGTGTGATGCAAAAGCACTGGAAGATTCACTTTGCAAGCGTGTCATTGTAACTCCTGATGGTAACATCACCAAACCTCTGGACCCTGATGCAGCTGCTTTGAGTCGAGATGCCTTGTCAAAGACTGTGTACTCCAAATTGTTTGATTGGTAAAAACAACTAACTAACTACACCAACATGTAACTAACCTTGTGCAGTACAGAACATTGAAAATCCAAAAGCTATTATGTAAAGGAAACGTGTTGTAAATACCATATAATACATAACTAAACCTTCTGTAAATAGAAGTGCTTTGCTTGTATGGCTTATTCTATTAGCATATTTTCAGTTTTGAGACAAGGAATGAAAAATTCTAAATGCATTCTTAAAATCTGGCAGGATTGTGGACAAAATTAACAGTTCAATTGGTCAAGATTCCAATGCAGTAAGCATAATAGGAGTCCTTGACATTTATGGATTTGAAAGCTTCAAAATCAACAGGTAAATAGCATAATTTTACAAGCAGAAGAACTAGAGTTTCTACATCTCTATCTTGTAATCTCATTGTCTCCATTTACAGTTTTGAGCAACTATGTATCAACCTAACGAATGAGAAGTTGCAACAACATTTTAATCAGGTATGGTAATAACTTCTAAATACAACTTGAGCAGCATTATCTGCTGCAATACATAATGTAAAAACGCATCTGTTTCAACAGCATGTATTCAAGATGGAGCAAGAAGAGTACACAAAGGAGGAAATCAATTGGAGCTATGTAGAGTTTGTGGATAATCAGGATGTTCTTGATCTTATCGAGAAGGTATTCTTCATCATCATTGCTTCTGAAAATATTTTTTCTATTAGATCAACTTATGAAACTATTTGTATGTCTATCATGCAGAAACCAGGGGGAATAATCGCTCTTCTAGATGAAGCCTGGTATGTCCTTTTACTCAAAAAAATGTGAAAAAGAATAGATGAGCATATTTGCTTATTCTATGCCTGCGAAGTAATTCCTCACTATGATAGGGTGGAACAACTTACTCCGATGGATTTTATTTCCTTTCTAAATAAAAAGCGAAAACTATAAAAACAGGAGAAATTTTAATGTTCTTCTTCTTCTTCTGCAGCATGTTCCCAAAATCAACTCATGAGACTTTTGCACAAAAGATGTACCAGACATATAAATCCCACAAGCGTTTCAGCAAGCCAAAACTTGCTCGAACAGATTTCACAATTAACCATTATGCTGGAGATGTAAGTGAGAAAGTTCTAAATTTTTTCCTTGGCCATTGACCAATAATTAGAAATTAATCGTCACAGAACCCTTTTGATGCACAGGTCACGTATCAAGCAGATTATTTTCTTGATAAAAACAAAGATTATGTTGTAGCAGAGCATCAAGCTCTATTATGTGCTTCCAAGTGCCCATTTGTTGCTAATCTTTTCCCTCCTTTACCAGAGGAAACTTCAAAGCAATCCAAATTCTCTTCCATTGGTTTACAGTTTAAGGTAACAATTCAATTTCAACATTTACTACTTCTGCCTATTTATAGAAACGATCAATCCATGAATTGCTTCTGGACCAAATCTTAATATGTAGCAACAACTGCAATCTCTCATGGAGACACTGAATACAACAGAACCACATTACATACGATGTGTGAAACCAAATACAGTTTTGCAGCCTGGGATCTTTGAGAACTTCAACGTCTTGAACCAATTAAGATGTGGGGTAAGTTTAATTTTCCAAATTGTCTCTGAAATACGTGACTATTCAGTGATCTTGAGAAAGTTTCCCAGCATAACATTCGTACCACAAATCTTTCAGGGAGTACTTGAGGCAATAAGGATTAGTTGTGCGGGATATCCAACAAAAAGAACTTTTGAAGAGTTTCTTGATCGTTTTGGAATGCTTGCCCCCGATGTCCTTGATGGGTATAAATTATTCATGTCTACAAGAAAATAAAAATGATTTTTAGACTTTCATTGTCACTAATATGGCATTCACACCTTAAAGAAAATAGAAAATAGTGTTAAGAATTATGAATCAAAGATGAAATGCAACCATGTTCAGTTAAACTACTTAAAGCATAACTTAAACACAATAGATAAGAATAATCTACTTTGCGCTTGCATCTTGCATCATAGAAAATCAATTCAGGATCACTTAAAAATAAATATCACAAGTCTCTCTCATTTTCATGTCTGATAAAATATATGATAAGCTTCATACACCCATATGATAAATAATGCTTTCTTCTGTGCAGTTCTGATGAGAAAAAGGCCGCTATGGCCATCTGTGATAAGATGGGCTTAAAAGGCTATCAAGTAAGTATGAAAAATATGTTACATAGACGATAAAGAAGGCATTATTGTCCATAAACTTGTAGGAATTCATATGTTATAATCTGTAATGCCTTTCCCCCTTAATGTTCCAATCAGATGGGAAAAACAAAGGTATTTCTCAGAGCAGGTCAGATGGCTGAAATGGATGCACG